ACAGGGCCATCGACGAAACAGCATCGATATATACTACCCCGTCGACGAAATAAACTTTCCACCCCGCGTGTGTGCTTCATTCCACGCTGGGGCGGACGAACGCACACGATTTCTTTACGAGTTGCGCCGGATAACTTCAATATAACGAGTCGTATCCCCGCGTAGAATCTCCGAATTCGAATCGTTATTCCCGCCCCGTCTTCTCCTTTAATACTCGTTCTTTCTGGTAACAGTAGTTCCTGCCTGGTCGAGGTAAAAGGAGCCCCACCGAACGTTCCATTTCTGCGAGGAAAGAGGGAAAGGAGCCAGCGAGGAAGAGAGGATGCGCGCAGAAGTAGTCGACCGAACGGAAGCAACGGGGAAGAAGGGAGCCGGAGAAAGGGTGAAGAGAGAGAGAGAGGGTGGCGAACGACGGATAAGAGAGTCTCTTTGTGTGCCCGTGTACAACGGAGGGATGAAAGCGGAGGATGAAAAAGCCGGGGGACAGATGGCCCTTTCAGACAATGAGAAACTCCGGAGATAAGGGGAATGCGAGCGAGAATCTAAGGGGAGGAAAGGGGTGGAGTGGGGGAGGGGGGAGAGAAAGAGCAGCGGGGAAAAGATCGACGAGAGAAAGAAGAGGAGACGAGGCTGCTTTTTTGAGACGCCAACGACGAGATAGAGAGGGGCATAATGAACGACGTGGGCAAGGGATAGCGAGAATGGCGATGGCGAAAGTAGAAAAGAGATGAAAAAAGAAAAAAAGAAAGAAAGAGACCGAAGGAGAAGGAGGAAAGACGGAAAACGGGTGAGTCAGACCCGGAATGGACTCTACGGACGATCTTTGGAACGCGATTAATGATCGTGCCATATGTTACCGTACCGTATGATCACGATCCAATTGTTTCGAGGGACCGTTCCAAAATTGCGAGATATTCTTCGAAAATCGAAACTACAGTTGTCGACTGAATGTAACATCGAATAAAGATAAATCAGTAGGTAACAACATACTGTCACGATTTTAATTATAGATTCTAAGCAGAATTCAACGTTTGCACGCGCGACACGCTGACTACCCACTTTTTTTTTATCGTCTATCATCCACCTTTCTCCTTTTACCAGCACCCGGGATCCTGTGACATTCTTTAAAAATATTATTTAAACACGCGTTTCCTCTTGTGTCGTTTAACAAAAAGAAAATATCACTTTCATCGCTTCTTGGAGGTATACACACATACATCCAGCGCGCACGTATTCGCGCTAAAGCATTATCCGCGGGAATTACCATCGATTCAAATGTGGAGATGGTTTTTACGCGAGGCGAGCGAGAGAGAAAAAAAAAGTACGAGAAAATCGACCAACAATGTTCTCTCCCTCTCTTTTTCTCCCCACAGGGCCCATCGGGTGTGTTCCTACGCTCGCCGTCTGTCTTTCTCTTTCCTCTCTTTTCCCCTCTCTTCTTGGTCGTATTAAAGAAACAGGATGTGCGGAGCGGGACGAGGAACGAGGAAGGAGGAAGGAGAGTAGGGAGAGAAAGGCAAGAGGGTTGCCAGCGGAAAAGAGCGCGGCTCGAGGGAGTGTAAAGGAGGGAGGAGGAGGGGGAGGGGGCACGAAGGCGAAGCAGGAGACGACGGTAACGACGACGACGACGACGATGAACGAGCAAGCGGAGGAGGTAGTGGAGAAGAAGGAAAAGGAGGTGGAGGCGGTGGCGGCGGCGGTGTAGGTGGCGGCGGGGGTGGAAGCGGAGGTGGTGGTGACGAAGAAGACGGGTCGAGGAACGGGGAGCAACCGGGGAAGGAGGCAGAACGGAGAAGGAAAAGGCCAGACCGAGGCACAGATCGAAACCCAAGAAAGAAAGAGGAGAGAGAGAGAGAAAGGTTAGGGTGTGTAGACAGGATGCTACGGGGGAAGTCAAGAGAGAGGGTGAAGGAGGTGGAACGACGGCCGGTAGGACCAGGGGGGAAGTGGCCGAAGGGAAGGCGAAGCAAGAGAAATTTCTTGCCTTCGTGCTCCTTCCACGCTGCTTCTTCCGTTGTGTTTCACGGTCCATTTTTATCTTTTGCTTTTCACGGTGCGCCGCGGCGCGATACGTGTTCTCGCGGGCGTAACGGAAGACGACGGGGAAAGGGAAACCGAGAGCTGAACGGAGTACGGTAAGGAAAGAAGAGAACCCAGCCTGGTCGGCCGGGGCTATGCGGCTCCGGTTTGTGTTCTTCTCTCTGCGTGAGTCAGAGAGACCACGGGGCATCGGGGAGAAGATAGAAACCGAAAAAGAGGTATAGGAGCGACGGAAGAAAAAGACGACGGAGAGATAGAAGAGACCGAGGAAGAACGAGAAAAAAGGGAGACGAACAAACTCCGTGGAGAACGGCAAGCCGAAAACGGGGACAAAGAGAAAATGACAAAGGCGAGGGAGAGGGCCCGTTCGATTCGATTGGAAAGGCAGGCAGAGAGGCCTCTTTCCTTTTACCAGCGTTTTCTCCGTATTATGCTCCGTACTTTCCGTTGTTCCTATGCGCGCGCGCGCGCGCGTTCGCCGAGTTACATACACAGAAACGGGCGCGCGAGAGAGGACAGTTGCTCAGTCGCGCACTCGACCCTGTCCGTTCTCTCTCCTCTCGTAGACGCGTGTATATGTATGGTGCCGTGGATATAGCCTATCTAGAGAAATATACATTCACCCGAGTTCTCTTTCTTTTCTGTCTTCCTTTGCGCCCATTACCTTTCATTCCCTCTTGTTTCCCGTCTCTTTTCCTAGTACTTGTACGCGATGTTCTCTATTTCCCTCCCATCCCTCCTCCCCCGCTGCTACTGCGTCGTCTCTCTTCTACCACCTCAATTACTATACGAGGTTTCACGTTATGTGGCTCTATGCTTTTGCGGCGAGAGGGCAGCTTTATACGTGGGTGAACGGGAAAATGTCTTTTGAAACCTTTCTAGGTCGCTCTCGATCGCCCCACTGTCAGTCATATACACGCGATTCCGCGCTCCCGGGCTCTCGAGAAAATCGTCGATCGCATCGCGGTTTTCTTTTAAGGATCATCCAACAGATGGGATTACAATTAAAAACGTCCCTGTTCTCCCTGTTTTGACTGTTCAATCTCTAAACAGGTTGCCCTGATGATGTCGTTTGACAGAGAATTGCCTCTATACCACGAATTGACATATCTACTATCGGTTCGTAACCTCTTATCATTCTCGCCCCATGTTTGTTCTTGAACGTTCAACTGTCCCTGATTCGAATGTTTTCTCATTTGGAATACCTCCTATATAATTTTGCTGACCGAAAATGAGATGAAAAAAGTAACGATTTCTTTCTTCTGAAACGTGTTTGAGACAATGTTATATTGATAGTTAAAGGATGATTCAAAGGTTTTTATCTATCTTGCAGCCGGTCGTCCTCCGGAACTCGATCCTTGAGTCATTCTAAGAAAAAAGTAGGAAGAGAGAGAGAGAGAGAAGCGGAGACGATGGAAGGGATCGAGAGCGTGGTAAAGAGAGGGAGAACTAGAGAAGCGAAGAGAAAAGGTGCAGTTCTCTTGATGGTTACGAACGCGGCGGCAAGGCCGAGAGAAGGAACAGTAAAATTGTGGAGAATGTGTACGCGCCATCAGGGTGGCCTAGATTCAGTCAAGACCTGCTTTCTAGGCAGCATTTCTCTTTATCATCGGCACCGCGAGCACAATGTATAGGTAAACCGTTCGTTGCTGCCACGATCGCAGAGAAAATCTCAGGTGCACGAAACGTGCACATCGGTTCTTTAATAATACTTGTATCGATGATTTAACAAATACCATGCATTTATACTGAAAATTATATATCGCTCGTATAAAGCATCGTAAAATCGCGTCCTTTACTATTTATCTTGGGCAAGCATGCACTCGACCCTCGTCCTTTTCCCTTTCCCCGTTCCCCTTTTTCCCCGGACGCTCCCTGTATCAGTATCAGGAAAATTCTTTGAATAATCGATTGAATAAAAACTCGCTTTACTTGAACCATTTGCACATATATTTCGGAAAACATAATCGATGCTTCGCATATGAATTTCTATTATCCCAAATATAGCGAAACGAACGTCGTTGTGCGCTTTGACAGATGTGCGATAACCGATCTCCTACACGAGATATCCGTACACATTTTGCGAAGGAAAAAAAAATATGTTTGTCATGATAATAAAAAATCGTGGAAAAACCTTTATGAAAATGACCGTAGATCTTATTTGGTTTGTAAAAATGTTGAATCCATGTGGAACGAGAATGTATGCACTTGGGGTGTATCGTGTTATACGATTCGTTTGACACGATGAACTAAACGCGAAGAAAACAAGGTATATAACGACTGTGTTTTCCTTTGTGTTTGGCTGTATAATACGCGGCGCAAACATTAAATAAGTGTTTCCTGCGCATACGTAATCGTTGATTATTGGACAGTTATCGTGCACGTGACCTACCGTAATCGGCGACAGCGTTTCGAACGTGCACGCGGCAAGTGTTCCAAATCCTCATGGAGAAGCCACGAGGCGCGCGTGGAGGGACGTCGTTTAATTCGTCGCTTCGTACGACAGGTCGTTAAACGTCGTAGATCATTGTCACGCATACCTACGCGAGTAGTACGCACACGCGAGCTGACCAGCTGTGCCGAGATGTACACGGGAGGGGAACAGTCAAAAGTCAAAACAATACGCGACGCGAAATGTCACCAAACGGATGACAACATTTTCGATCCGGTTCAAAATTACCGAACGTTTCTAGTATTGACATTGTTTTCGATGATAGTGTAACTCCTTCGACGGAGATTTAAATAAAGGAATAGTTGTCAGTGCGACAAGGACGCGCGTGAACACGAAAATAACACGCGAGCGACAACCATAGAAACGTATAAACTTTTCCATTTGTCGTCTCGAACAAAAGGGCACTTAAGGATCACGAGATACGTATATACCGTGAACGACGTCGTCATCGTCGACGACGACGTAGATGAACCAACGATAAGCGTAAGAGAACTGTCGTTGCACTTACCTTACCATGACAACCTGACGCTCGAATCAAATCACCACCGGTGCAAAAGTTTGACCGATTCTTGGCAACTCTGTGCCAAGGTCTGCGGTAGACACTCACTTTTGCTGTAGTTTATGACACTTCGGTGCAGTAGAGAGGCACGCACGAAAACAACGACGACGCTTCACGGATGATTCTCACGGAAACGCGTATTCACGCGATGACACACGGGACAATTGTCAGTCGTCGCGTAAAGCACGTACCCGCGCTGACGACTGGCAGCTGTCACTCTCTCGGTTTGCCCGTGAAAACGTCACGGCACGAAGTGGCGTAGCGAATGTGGCGAATCACGGAGAGAGACGGACAAGGGGGAAGGAGAAGGAGAAAGAGAAAGACATAAATGCACACTAGGGGGCACCGTGATGGCGGCGGACGGCCCGTGTTCCGTTGCGGACGGTGGCGCAAAGCGATTAAGCGATTTTGTTGTGGACCCCGATTCTTCCCTTCGTCGGCTCTCTCTTCCCGGCTTTCCACTTCTCCCGCGCCGCCTTTCGCCTCTCCCGCTTGTCGCTACGGCTGCGCTACGCGGTAACGCGCCCCTCAACGGAAATCTGCCTTCTTCCCCACTACCAACTCAGGAACCCCTACCATCCACGAATTGCCATGATGTTAGACCGGCAAAAATCAGGATTGTATCAACTTTATATCGTATTACAGCTTGCCAACTTCTTGCCATTAAAAATGTCTAATTTAAAAGTAAAAACACACTGATCGTCATACCGTAGAATACCTATCGACGTTCCAGAGAATGTTGTTTAGGTTGAATTTTACAGTTATGTTGCATACTATGGTAAAAGTACGATGATATTCGATTCATTTATTTCGGATATCCATATATGAGTCATATCGTGATTAGTATGATATTGATTCATCGTAGATAAGAGATTTCAAGTAATGGTTTCACTAGACCCGTTCGTATTTGTAGTAATGTGCCGCGCAAAGATAGTCACTAGGTTCTGAATCTCTCTCGACGACCCTGCACTAGACGGCCGTTCTCTTTGCCCCACTATTCGTACCTCCATGCGCAGAAGATCGATTTGAATTTTCTGCGCCGCGTCTCCCCTCAAGGGGCACACTGTTTCTGTGCATCCCGGTGTCCCCTCGCAGAGCGGGTCGATCGTTAACGCGTAGCACCACGGCCATTGTGTAAAAAGAAGCCACGGCGCCCGGATAGTGCACGCTGAGGACGGGACGGTGTAGTTTTTCCAAGTTTTCCTCTTGTGATATTAGAGTGCCAATATAGGTGAGTACTTCACGTTTATGTACAGTAAGCTATAGTCCTAGGTGTTATCTTTTTGGATTACGTAGTTTCTTTGACATCGCGAAAACCCTGTGGAAAATCAGGTCGCCTCGCTTTGCCAACAGTGATACGGTTTTGTCAATCTAAAAGCGTGATCTCGTGAGATAGTATGACTTAACAGTCTTCGAAAGTTTGTGAGAGTCGCGATTCGAACGAATCAGACGCTTTTTAAAATAGAATAGTTCGCATTTTCCGAGCTTTTTTGGGGAGTTTTCGCCATTTTGCCTTGGCCAAGTCCGCAGAGTCGGCCATTACGTACGCGTGCCAGGTTGCGGTCCAGGGCCGGTTAATGACGTTCAGACGCTTTGTACTTTTTGCTTATTAATTGACTTATTTCAACTTACATGTCTACGCACACAGCAATGTTAATTATTCTCTCGTTGTTATAATACATGAAATGTCCTAACAATATATACCTACTATACATTATGTATGTATATTAGTACAGTATATTATTTGTAAATTTTTTACAAATTCGTAGGATATTCTGCTATCGTTGTTTTGCACGATGCAAACATAGTTGCACATATTTTTTTTTAATCATTACTGTCCATGAGCCCAGTATATTTATCTTTTCTATTGATTCTGTTACGGTGTCATCAACTCGTCTGTTCTGCAAGTACTTTTTTCGTCATTAAATATAGTATTTCATTATTATTATGTTAACCTAAATATTACAAGTGCATTAATATCTCGGTGATAACGTACAATTTCTAATGAAAACATAAAAGTTCGCGTTTTATCTGTTAGCGTCCTCTAGTTGCAATTTCTAATCACGGCGAGATGATCATAGCTTTTGGGAGTAGAGCGCATGCTCGATAGTTTCCTTCGTTTTTTCTTCTCTCGTGCCCTCTTCCGGGGAAGCCTGCGCTCTCTGACGGTCGGCGTACGGGCAAGCTAGCAGGCGTTGCGCTACGCCATTGTTGAAAAGGGCAGCGCTCGAGGCGCACGCCGAGCTTGGACGCTTACGCAGTTTTTCACTTTTCATCGATCCTGTTGCTGTGATATTAGATTGTTTTATACCCCATATTAGGTGAGTGTTACAATACGTAGATAGTTATTCGTAGAATTCGCGATTTCACGTCGAAACTCTTAAGAAAATCCCGGAAAATCTTAAGGTGGGGTGACATGGCGCGGGCGGATCCTCCATATACATTTGAGAAAACACCAGCTTGGTTTTGATAACGTGCGAGCGAAAATATCCCGATGGAGTAAGCGTTTGCGATTTTCATGTGTTTGTCCAGACGATACTTCAACGGGAAATTTTAGTATCAGTGATAAATTCTCGATCGATATACTTTTCCTTGCGAGCTTTTCTTCTATCGCCATTTTGTCCGGGCGCGACCTCGCGGACGGCCATATTGCGATCCACGTCTCCTCTCCTCTCTCGTGGTTTCCGGGGGCGGTGCGAGGAAAGTGCATTGTTCTTTTTCGCCGGTCGGTAGATGCGATTGGAAAAATTATCTTTCGCTAACTTGTTTTCGTTTCGCACACGTTGCTCGGCGCCATCTGACGTAACGTTCAATTCCAGATAACAATATAAATAGATTACGCAATCGCGCGTAAGCAGTGAACGCTCTTCACTTTATTTCGTATTAATCGTTACACAGTTACACTTATATTATAGTCGCTCCCCCACCCACGCCTGAAACTTACGCGTTGCGCATGTGAGGCGAGTAATCGATTTTCCATTTTATTGTGCGTCAATGATGTAAACCTCGATGACGTAAACTGTATTACAGTTCGCCCTGTTCGATGAACCTAACATGGTTTTCTCAATCCTTTTTGGTATATACGGTTTGATTACCTTAATTTTTTCTTGTGTATCTATACGATGCAGCGCGCTTGGTCACAGTTATACTTTATATCAAAGTTAATAGGTTAATAACTTTAAACTTGTATTTTAATTACACGCTTTTAAAATTAATATAGTCACGTCGTAATTCATATAGCATTCGGAATTACGCTTGTTTAGGTCCGTTAAAGTATCAATAAGAAAAATTTGATTTATATAGACATGGGATTCAAATGGTTGCTTTTAGTTATGCAAATTTCATTTTTCGTGACAAAAATTTTTCCACAATTCGGTATCATAGTTGGGTACCGGAGAATCCAGCAGACGCCCCTGAATTCCAGGGCCTCGAGTTAGTGCGCAAGTCAAGCGCGCAGCTCGGGCGCAGCTGCGCATGCGTGATGCTTGCGCGTCCTCCTGCATCATCCCCACCAAGTCGTCCATTACCGTTATGAGGACACGCACAAAGGAAAAGGCCAGAAGACTGATTCGACCGACGCGCTTGCATCGTACGGCCATTTTGGAAGCTTCGGTGCTTCCTTGCGGAGCTTTCGCCGTGGTTGCTTATTGATCGCGAATCTAAATTAAATTTTCAAGTTCTGCTGTGTACTTTCGAATCATCCGCCTCGATGTACGCGTTAATCGTCCGCAAGAGAGTTAGATAGCATTAGACACGGTCGATATTGAACGACAAGCGGGGTCTTTCGTACTCGTTGTTCATCGCCACGGGTCCTTTTCTGATTGTTCAGGAACGCAAACATGGAATCGGACGACCAGCAGTTTTGTTTGAGGTGGAACAACCACCAGTCTACGCTAATTCAAAATTTCGACACACTTCTCGAAAGCGGGACGCTGGTCGACTGCACCCTGGCGGCGGAGGGGAAATACTTAAAGGCCCACAAAGTAGTTCTCTCCGCGTGCAGTCCCTATTTTGAGGTAAGTTCATTTTTTTATGTTCTTATAATTATATTCTCCTTCCAATTTTCCTTGTTGATCGTATATTGCTTTAATATGCCAATCTTGGGATTAGGGTGTCGAGGGTATTGTTTAGATATAAAAATTCTCTAATACACAACAAATTTGAATTTATATGTAGTATTCAAAGTAAAACAGAAATAAATATGAAAGTGAAAAGAGATATATAGAGCTTTTATTTTTGGTATCTGTTCATTTTGTTCAATTGGCTAAGCATAGTTATGGATCTGTAACAAGTACTGGAATTGAAACTAGTGGAAAGGGGGAACCTGAAATTGAAACAAGATGGCTGCCCTTGTTGAACGTTGCCTGGGCAGAAGCCTGAGAGGCAGGGGGAATGAAAGCCCAAACCCCCTCCTGGTTCCTCGTGATCAATACAGAGAAAGCAAGATGGCTGCTTTCCAGGGCACTTGCCCTGGGATTTTACCCTGATGTGGGTGGGGGTGTTTGAAGAGGCAGTGCCTCATCCATTCGATCATGGAATTAAATTTATTAATAATACTTTACATTGAAAACTTAGCAAATATATCCTTCAGCTGGAACTTTCTTTTTTTTTTTTTTAAATATTACTATTGCATTGATATTTTAATATTAACTCGTTAGTTTATTCAGTTTAGTGTACAATTATGTCGAAAGACTACCGACTATTAACTCATTACTACTGATTGGTACGAAAATAATTTTAACGTTTAATAATAATTTAAACATTGAAACAATAACTTAAACATTACAAATAATTTTTGTATTGTACCAAGTCGCAATAGTTGGTGAATATTATTTGAAAATCGATCGAAAAACCAAAATCAGCATTAATGGGTTGAGATAGAAACTTGATGAACTTCAGAAGCTAAAATACTTCGACATTTTTGGAAAGATGCTGTAGGTTTACATGTATAAACTTTTATTGTAGGGCCTCCTCAGCGAGCATTACGACAAACACCCTGTCTTTATACTCAAGGACGTCAAATTTAAAGAATTGAAAGCTATGATGGACTACATGTACAGGGGAGAAGTAAATATCTCCCAAGACCAATTGGCAGCACTTCTCAAAGCCGCTGAGTCTCTACAAATTAAGGGTCTCTCGGAAAGTAAAACGGGTGGTAGCAGTAAGACGGACTCTAGGCAACAAAAGGTCGTTCCACAAGCAACGGCGCCGTCGTTAGACATTCCACACGCGTCTTCCGGGCTAACGATAGAGAAAAATAAAGTTCCTAGGCAGGGTATGGCGCAAGGTTCCATAGGGGATCTGCCAGAAGACTCGGCCAGTCCCCAAGTACCTAAGGGTCTCTCCTCGAGGTAAGAAGAAAATACACATTGGGACAGATTTATGCCGTTTGTCGATTAGGATCGTCGAGATGTTTAGTTCGGAATTTTATTGCAGAGAGGGCTCTCAAAGTCCAACATCGAGGAAAAGAAAAAGGTTTAGAAGAAGAAGCGTTGGCGAAGATAATTCGATGGAGAATCACGAAGCCTCGAATTCCAGTGATATGCCCCAACAAATGGGTGTTCCTGCGCTTGGAATTGCTCCTGTCGCAGACGAGAAGACCCACACAGACCCCTCTGATTCACTTGGCAGGTCAGCGTTAATGACGCAGCTGACGAAACCCGCGGACGAAATGCTACAGGTAAATGCACCGAAAATCAATCTCGATTCAACAGTCTCGAACCAACGTATAATGGAGACTGCTGCTTCCTCTAGTGCTCTGTTTCTTTCGCTCGTTGGTAGAGTAAACGTCGTACTTTATCCTTCTATTTGGTTCCATTTTCATTTGATCTCATAGAGTGGAAACGGTGCGATACACTATCTTTTTTTCTTTCTGCATCAATTTCTACGATGTTTACTTTGTAATAGGCGACGAATTTACGTGTTAATAATTCCTTGTTTCTGTAGCTGCCACTCGAAAAGCCTGAGCCAAATGATAGCCTCATCGAGCCAAAGTCGGAATATCTAGAAGATCCAGAGGAGAGTGTCGAAGACCTGACGCTAGATGACGACATGAACGACTTGAATGACATTGAGGGCGACAGTAACAGAGCTGGACCGTCCCACGACCCCGCCCAACACCCCGGTAAGTTTGCACAGTTCCATTTCTTGAACAGTAATCTGTCGTTCGTAAAGTAGCGGAATACAGGGTACATATATTCGCGGATCATGCGCCCAGAGCGCGATAAATTCGAGCTTGCTGTACGCAAATTGTATATGACGTATACGGATACGATTGCAGTAGCGCAACACTTCCATCCAAAAGAAACCTTTGGATCGAAGCAGAGCTTTTTTAGCCTGGCATTTTGTGATACCGACAATGAGGAGATGATCGCGCTTTGCCTGGGCTTTCAATTTTGAACGTTCATTGATTTATACAGGAAATAAAAAGAAAAATGAAAAAAAAAGGGATTCGTTGAGAAACTAGTAGCTTTAGTCCCCGCAATCGTTTATTTGTTTGTTAAGTGTTAAAACGGGTCGTGCGATGATCGGCCGACACTAGTTTGGGTTTCCTCGTTGCAGGTGGGGGGGCGGGAGCGCGGTCTCGGTCGAGAGGGAATTGGGGTGGTGGTGGCGGCGGTGCCGTCTGGGCGTCCCATTTCCTCGAATGTAAAAAAGGGCCGAATACGAGGCGGCCACGCCCAGACGCTGACGTAGGCGCGTTGCTTAAATCGCTGGAGAACAAACATGGCAGAAAGTATAGTTTAGACTCGGTTAAAATGTCTTTGGAGGCAATATTACAGCAGGGCGTTAGCACCACTCAGGCGTCAGAGATGTACGGCATTAATCGCTCGACCCTGCAGTTCTATTTGAAAAAGTTGAACGTCAGCAGGAGGAGATGGAGACAACAGCCTAGTAACGTGATCCAGCCTAGGCAGGCTTAGGTGTGTGTGCACGCCCTGCTGAAAAGTAGTGCACGTAATTCGATGTGCAATGTTTCGAGATTCGCTGGCGAGAAAAAATGATGCCCATTAACCGATAAAATGAAAAAAATAAAAGTAAAATAACACGGCTCCTGTTCAGCTGGTACAGTTAGTACTTACTTTTTTTTTTTTGGTTCCCTCAAGGTCGAACATTTTACTTTTTGATACGATAGCGATTTGTGATCGTTGATAGTGTTTTTTTTTCTTTTGTCGTTTCATATGTGCTTCACGCCAATTGTGTTTCTATTTCGAATCGATAAGCAACTTTGGCGCGAAGCATTCTAACGGGCGTGTTGTCAGCTTCTTGCGAACAGGTCTGAACGAATTGCTCAGTAATTTTTTTAAACGGATAGTCTGTTCTTTATACTGCGTGCTCCGACGTATACAGGGTTTGAAGTTCAGTTTTTAACTTAGCATCGTAACGACAAAGTATATTTAATGTTAATTCTTGTTGATGATACGAGTCTATATATGTTCTTAAATTCTCTGTACGATATAGAGTAATACATTGTCCACAGTTGTATTACTTGTGTTCTGAATGAGCCGTTCACACGATATTTGCATCGAACTCCACCTTGCGAGTTCTCTTCACGTACGATCCCAGCGGTGGTGTACAGACGAAAAATAATCAGTATTATCTCTCTGTTCTAAGTGTTAAATGTAGAACGATCGTGATTTTAGGTAAAAATCATTCGAGTCACGTAAAGGTGTTTGTTCCGCGACGTATGTTTGTATGGATGTCGACCGTATGTACGGCTACGATTTAATAGGAATGTATGGTATTTCCGTGTTATATCTGCCAAAATATTATTCTTCGCGAAGTATAGCCGACCAGGGATGATCGATGCATTATGTACCTTATATAATATCAGGTTTCGTCGTATCTGTAAGCAAAAAAAAAATGTGTAACTTCCGATCGCGATATACCCTGTATTTCACTACTTCGAATTGTCCAGGGATCTGAAAAGATAATTTTCGTTCTTGTCTTGATCATGATTAACTCTGCGAATAAAGTATCACTACCCCCTTATTCCAAACCAAAAACAAAAGGCTTCTTGGACTTCTCATTTCGAGTATAACTCACTTTCACACACTCTCTTCGTCCTCCTGTTCTATCCCAGCAGAGAAGGTGTTACGAGTACGGTTTGTTTTCTTGTTTCATTAGCAGGTATAGGCGCGTGGCATGTTACCGGAGATCGAAGTAACGCGGGAGGAGTCGTGGGTTCGGTGGCGGGAGCTCCAGGAACGACAGACGAAGTCTTCCTTGCAGCCCAGGAGGCCGCCCAGGCCCACCGCGACTCGCAAGGTAGGCTCACCCGCACCATTTTTCATCAGCTCCTGCCCGCCGTAACAATAGGCACTCGACATTGGCGCAAGCTCATCGAAGCGATCACTTGAGACTCGGACGCATATCCAATTATGGAACACGATAGAGAACATTTCTTATCTAATGTAAAAGAGAACAAACACGAAAGAATGTGTTCAATTTAAGAAGCGAATACGGATTTTGAATCGTACGGAGAGGATGATACACAAAGTCTAAACGGGGAACAAAAATATGGCTTCTTAATTGTTACAGACACATTCTTCGATCGGTTTCCACAGAAAATACTTCTTTTGATATAAGCCATGAAGTGAGAAGTGCCCATTGCGCAGGCGCGACAGGACCTTATATTTTTCTTTCACTGTCGAATAACGTGGTTCAACCTAGATGCCGGTACATTCAAGAGTAGCACGGTCTCTGAAAGAGCTTTTCACTTTCTATGAAAACAGGGCATGTAGAGCTTTCTAAGTTCTCTTATCATATCTCTTTGTTTTCCTCTGTAGTTTTTGTTTATTTTTTCTATTTGTATCGCGATACCGTGCCGCGAGGTCGACGAGGGAGATTCGCCACGAGTTTGTAATCCGCCAGGTGTTGTGCATCGTTCTTTTTTTGCTCCGCCCCACACACCCCTCTTCTCTAAGTTGTCTCGCGTTGTTCATCGTCCTTCGGTATCTCGTTATCACGTCAACGGCGCGTGCGCGCGTTCCGAGAGATATCGATCCGTGGTCCGCGTCTCTGCAATTTTCCTCCCAGTTTTTCATTTCAATCGTGGCTCGTCTTTATCGTTGGCCTCGCGACGCGATATTGCGACCTCTCTCTCCTCTGCAAGGAAAAAGTCGACCGCCGCGGACGGACCCGAGCTGATCCGCCGCCGCGACCACCGACCAACGGAAACACGAGACGCATATTTTCCTCGTAATTTATCACGTACCGCGTAACAAGGGAAACTTGTAGCAAGCCTTTTGATCCCCCTACGCCCCTCACTGCCGGTGCATCGCGATCCTCTATTACGTTTACCGGAAACACGTAGGAACAACGAAGACAGATGGAGAGAGAGAGAGAAAAATAAGAAAGCTACGAAGTAATTTAGAACAATTAGTGTCTAAAAAAGAAAAAGGAAAACTAGCATTGTAGATCGTTCGTTGTCGCGACACGATGTTCCGTGGTAATTTGACATGCTAATTTTCAATTCGTCGCGAAGAGTAGCGGATAGATAAGCTCTTTTGGTAGAGAAGTAGTCGAGTTACAAAACGGGGAACACAAACGATTGTCGGTAGGCAGGTCTCTCAATGGTGGTCCTCTCCTCCCTTAAGAATTCGGTTTTATTCCCGTATCGGAATAAATTTAGGACGATTGACCCTTTGCACATCGATCGAACTGTAGGATCCGTTAGAGTCGAAGAATTTATACTACGTGATGTATATTTGTAAAGTGGCAGTCGAAAAACCAACCTTGAAATGTTAGGTGCTTGGAGTCTTGTACTACGCGCGGACCCACCAGAAAGGCTGTCTATGAACTTGATGCAGCATCGCCTTCGAAAAATTCAAAGTTCTGGAGCGAAAAGACACCCACAGAGAGCGTGCAGAGCCTGTAAAGTTCACGGGAAACGTAAGGATACATGTTACATGTGCGACCACTGCGGAGTACCCCTTTGCAAGAACCAGTGTTTTGAACGTTACCACACAGTCGAGTATTATTAACGTCTAATCCATTGAAACTACATACTTGAACGCGGTTAGAATGTTTATGTATCCACTTTAAAAGATAAACGAAACTAATTCCGATAGTATTTTCTAATCTTTTCCGCCGGTCGAATACAATTCGTTCCAAATCGCGTGCGATCGTGGCTTAAAATACCGAGTGCAAAGGGTTAAATATACAACGAAAATTGAGCGAGGTATAGTCGACGTAGACTCGCAGTAAAAGGAAGTTTAGATCATCGATATCGCGTTGTTGCTATGAGAAATTCAACTCGAAGTAACGCGAGAGCTTGAGGAAAAGAATACAACGGCGCGAGCGCGCGCCAGTGTGAGAGAGAGTGAGATAGTCAGACTAGCTAGCCAGCCGGTGTCCCAGTTTTTCCTTCCTCTTTCGATGGCCGTTCTTTCGAGAAATTGGATCGTAACGGAACACGCCGGTGTTCGACGGATAAAATGGCCTCGCGAATTAATTACAAAATATAGCTGTGTCTCCACTTCGTACGGAGAATCGAAAGAAAAGAGCATAAATGTGCCGAAGATGCAACGACCGCGTCTGCATAATTCATATATCGCGACACAATTACTGGTCGGGTTAGAGCGTGGCAGAAAATATGGTATCGAAACGTCTATTAGAATTTCCGAAGTAGATTATTTCCATCGTGGTACTACGTACGACACAAGAGGTTATCGGAAATAGTGTGTTGCGTGCGCGAGCGCGTTTATTCCTCTTGCTCCCTCCCGAGTAGTGTCGGTTCGGCCCCGAGTAGTGCCTGTTCACTGTGCGCGCGCGCGTGCTGCTCACCAGGCACAAACGATTCGGTCCGCGAACCGTTCCCACGGAAACCCGTCGGCCTTGAGCTCGATAGGGCCTCCGACAGAAGTGTAATTGCGACGACGATAGAGATGGCTCGCTCGCGGGCTCTAGAAACGAGGCAAGCTTATGACTAGTAGAATACGCGCCCGACAAACGGTTTATCAGCCTGACGGAAGACACATTATCTGGCCGAGAAATTGCACGGTGATCTCTCTCTCTCTTGAGGCTTGTAGGCGTGGCGATGATTTCGAAGTCGTCGACCCAGATTCGCGGTCGCTTATATGGAGGGGTCGTTGAACCCTATCCGGTCGATCGATAATACGACGACGTTCGATTACGTAACGATCGTTTCGCGAATGATTCTCACCGTAAAACAACAGATAGGTTCAGTTTTAATTTGCGGTTAATTAACGTAATTGAGTCTCCGAAAAACGATTTCGCGAACGAAACTCTATCCTGTGGTGTTGAGGAACTTGGCGGGGAGGGGGGTGAAAGAGGAAAGAGGCGGGAGTAGCAGGCAGCTGTTGCCTTTCTCGAATCTACCGATGCATCTGCTACAGCACACGAACCGCGCAGCTGTCGTGTTGGCAGATGCAACCTGAGAGCTTAGCGACTAGCGGATCGAGAAACTTATCGATAGAAAAACTCGTGTGGGTAGCTTGACGCGTTTCGCCGGAGAGAAAGAAACCTGTGTCTAGTAGAGAAAGGATCGCGAGGGAAGAGACGCCTAGAGAGACCTTTCGAAATATGTTATTAGAGAGAACGATGGGAGGGGAGATTTGTCGCGTACCAGGGTATATTTCGTTTTCTAAGATAAAAAAAAGAAATGAAATGAAGGTTTAGGATCAACGATCGCACGGGAAATGTGTGATCCAACGGGGGAGAGAGATACAAGGTAATATCGGAGAGAGAGGAGCGACCTCTTCGTCAATGCTAGGTCCTACCATCGTTCATGATTTCGTAAACGATCGTCCGTGTTACGGCAATATCGTGTTACCTTACGTTTCTTTATATTATCTCGTGTTTTTTGTTTTGCAATAACGATACACGAAAGAAGGTTTCTCGGAACGGATGAAAGAGAGATTTTTCGAGACGAATCTTGTGCCCAAGTGTGTGCCTCGCATTGATGGGGAAGGTCGTTGTTTTCACCGTCAGAGACTTGTTACCTTGAATCGATTGTTCGAGCGGTTTTCACATGAAATTGTACAAAAAGAGGAGCCTTTCCAAGCTTGAAACGTAAATATTGCATCCATAGTGTCCCAACTGTCTTTTTAAAACACGTTCCGTGCCGCGTGGGTTATCGATCACCTATTATGAATTTGTTTGTTTTTCTCTTGTTTGCGCCTTTTCAAAGAAATTTCTTTGACTAGGGAGACGAATCGTGAACGCAAAGCATACATATATACACCACATATATATGCCGTTTCTTTCGATACATGCTCCGCACGTGGTATTTTTTCCAAACTGTCATCGTATGTGTGTGTGTGTGTGTGCACACAAAACTGGTCACTGGTGATCTGCGCGGCGTGTAGAGATAAAAAAAATAAATAAAAGAAGCAGATCCATCGCTCGATACGTCGAAGGCGTCGTCGGTCGGGGTTATTCAACAGAAACATTAAAAAAAAAATAATTACTCGAAATCGTAAATTTATCTGTCACACAGATGCATGGGACAAATTTTTGCCCTTTCGACACGAATTCAAAAAGAAAGAGGGAAAAGTATCGAAAGTAAGACGGTGTTGCGCCCGATGTTACTCCGAGAACGTAAGAACTCTCGGTGCTCGGATTGCGAAAAATTGCACCATAAAAGTAGTGACATTTTGCGAGAGATGCTTCGGTCAACCACATCTCTGCGAGCCGTGCTTCTACGTGGCACATAGCTTCATTGGATGAGAATAATTTTGTGTTCACGAATAAAAAAAAGCCATATTTTGATTCAATTTCCAAAGAACCGTTGTCATCCTCAGATATTGTGTTTTTTTTTTACCATTAATTCCTTCGCATATTATTTTCCTATCAGTACATGAGTTACATGAACGGGTTTCTTTCGATTCAGAAGCCCCAGTACACGTGAAAACGACACAAACACACATACATACGAACCTTCACGGCGCAAACGAGAAATTGCAACGAAAAACCATTGCCGCGGCATGGAACGTGTGTTTACGAAAAATCTGATGAATCTTAACGTTCTACCAGAAATGACAAAATGTCACGCAAAGATATACATATATACTATTTTCGTTCGGTTGTGGTACGCTCTCTCGTAAACGTATATACACACACCGTTGCTGTCCGTCTCTTCGTGTCACAATTTTCTTGGCGAAAATAATGTCGAGTCGCGCGGCTCTCCAAGGGGGTTTTTCCTCACTTTGCAATATACAGACAGACAATCGTATATATATATATATACACACACATACGGTGTATAATTATTTTTGTTTATAAACTGAGAGATCTGTCCAAGT